TTTAGTTATTTACAATCAATTGTTTTTACATTTATATATAAATTTACCATTATAAAGTTTTCACATGTAGATTAAAATTTAAAAGGGTAGAGTTCCAAGAGTGTTGTATTGTAGGACATTGATTTGCCTATAAATCAATTCGCCGTGTTTTACATTGACTTGCCTATAAATAAAATCGTATTTACAATCAATTGTTTTTTACATTTATATATAAATTTACCATTATAAAGTTTTCACATGTAGATTAAAAAAAGGGTAGAGTTGCATGAGTGTTGTATTCTAGGATATTGATTTGCCTATAAATCAAATCGCCGTGTTTTACATTGACTTGCCTATAAATAAAATCGTCGTGTATTACATGGGAATATACTACCTCATATCATCCTTTGGATGTCGTAAGGGGCTACATAGGGAAACTGAAACAGATGTGCATTATCATCTTGCTGAAAATAACTAAAAATACAAGTTTAAAACTTGCTTGTCAAGTGTGGAACCTAAGGCAAGTTTCTCCCTAAGAGGCGATCGGTGACGTCTGTTCTGCAGTGGACTTCGGTAGTAGATGATCACATATATATTAAGAAATAAAATTGAAGTGTCTATTTGTAATATCAAAATAACACATTTTACTAAATGTATATGAAAGTATATACAGTATTTTTAACAAAAAATAATAACTGCTCCGGCTAATCTTTGAAGTGGCTGGACCGATTTTGACGGAACTTTCACTGGCAGATAGCTGATGTTATAAGAAGTAACTTATGCTACTTTTATTTTAGATAAAATTTTATGGTTTCGCGCAAAAAACAACATGAAATCTAATCGTATTAATTTCACGCGGACGTCTCGGAGATTTGCTAGTAGTATATAAAAATGTTTTTATTATAGGTATTGGCACATTTAGCGCGTTGTTTATCTCAAGACGCGTCGCCGCGGGCTTTTCTCGAGCCGTTCCTCGTCGAGGGCCCGGTCTTGTCGGCAGAGCAGGAAGCCAGACCAGTCCAGCGCTGGTCTTTGATTTCAGACGAGCTCCTCGCCAGACCTCTAGCCGATAACATCGAGTTTCAACTTCGACAAGGTGACATCTCTTTAATATGCACCATTAAACAACTGCCAAAGTTTAGTTTGACAGAAGAGGTCGTCGATCCCAAGAGCAACAGGTTTGTTCTACGGTTGAATTCTGAAACGTCTGTTTGACAGGAAGAGTTCACTGACAGAGACGACCACAGGCTCGTATGACATTCGGACTTTGAGTTGTCAAGTTGACAGCACAGTGTTGCCTGTTGGAACTAGCCGAGTGCTCAGACCTGTCAAAATTATTAGTGAAATGCCATCATTTATTGATTTGGATCTTATAATAAAATGGAACAGAAATATGTTTATTGTGGCAGCTCAATCATATATATGTAATATTCTTTTATAATATACACATTTATTCATATATTATATTTAACAAGGTAGAGCCATGCTGAATGTATTATATTGCAATATATTGAATTGGTTCAACGGGGAATGACCAGGTTATACAGATGTTAAATAGCACCTTAACACTGCTATAAGTCATAGTAACGAAAACCTGAGACGCTTTTTATTAGTAACCGAACATTTCTTCTTAGGCATGGAAACATGTCTATTGTCTAGGCTTTCATACACATCCTTTAGATCGACTTTGTATTTAATCGTCTGCACTGGTATAAGAAAAATATTTCACTACTTCCAATTGAAGAGAAATTATTTCTCATATGACTGAATGCATCAACGCCATTCCTTTATTTGTTAAATTTTTAAGTAAAAATATTGTTAAGTATAATGGCATATATTATTTTATTTTGTCTTGATTTATTGGGTTATAAATAATATGCTAATGTTTCGTTTTGTTATAAAGACAAATATAAAAAAAATTAGTAAATTTATTTTAAATTTGAAATGCTGATGTGTTTTGTATGATTAACGAAATCTCATGTTTAAAATTAAATTATTACGAGTTAGTCCTTTTTATAATTAGGAATTGTGCAATTTGTAAAGTTTTATACTCAAATCAGAATCTCAGCGATTTATGTAACATATTAATGCCATTTCATAAGACTTTTTTTGCATTTAACTAATTAAAATTTAAAAGTTACATCTTTTTAAACTATATTTTGTACATTTGTGTCATATACCTTTACCCGTAGCTTAATAAGAAATAAGTAAGTTTTATATTATGCACAATTTTTACAATTTAGGTTATCAAAATAGAAAAATGCATTATGTATTATGTGTATAAAGTGGAGGATTTTATACACAAAATAGTAGTGGAAAAGGAAAGAAAAAAGAAGAAAGACGTGTTTATCGATCTTTGAAAATGTTGTTCTTCTATTTGTTCAGTTTGCATTTACAATATTGCAATCTGAACAAATAATTGTTGAATTTTTAAGATTATAAACTCTTAATTAGAAAATAATCAATCGCTTTGTATCATTAAATATTTTTTTCAGATAATTCTGCTGTTGTTCAATTTAATAAAACCTAGTCATAATAAAGCAGCCGTAGGGCAAAATATTTTTTTAATTAATTTGGTTTCTTAATTTTCTGTATTTGGATCAAAATGTCCAGGAAGTTGTGTTGTATACCTCTATAAAGGAAATAATCCTGTACCTAAAGACGGGTTTGTAACAAAGTAAAGTCAAAGGAGAGATTTGTTTTCATACAAATGAGGATTTGAGCGAAGCCAACTCCAGTTTGTTGTATAAACATAATATCTCCTTTCCGCTTTGAAGAAACCCCACCGAAGGTCAACTGTAGGTCTGTAATAAACTGTTACTTACAACCAGTTATATATATACCTTACATATACAGAAATATAACATGTAACAATTTATATTATATTTTGTAATTAGGTTTAATAAAAAAATTGATTAGCATTATTATATTATAAAATATTAAGTAATATTATTATTATAAACTTTAAATTTATGTGGAATAATCCGATACATACCAAAAAGTATTTTTCTCATTTTTTATCATCTATTCTTCTACATGAAGACAATTAGAGTGTTACTTGTACAATTATATATTTGTTACTTTCTGTTGTTTTAATAAGTTGTGTAGCTTGCCTTATCAAGTGTCAATGTATAGCAAAAAATAAAACATTTTTGTACTTTACGTCATATCATAGGTTAAATATTTATTTATAGTTAAGAATATTATTATAACGCGATGAGTATATAAAATGTGCTGTTCAAAGTGAGCAGAGAATTTGTGGGCCTTAATGTCAGTTGTGTATAGTAGCCATATTGTATTTTTCTTTTTTTGATAAATAGCTTTTGGCTTCGCGGTAAAAAGTTCTCAAAGTCGCACGTTACTTCCTAAAAGTGTAAATTGTATAATGAGCCCATTGTAAATTTGACGGAATTGTAAAATCCCATAATAATTGGGACTTTGAAATGCAATGAATACCAAATTATCTTCATAATATTAAAATAATTGCCTGAGACATCACAAAAGCATGTGACTACAATTTTGTATGTAGATTATATAAAAACTAAATTTTTACATTATACTAAATACAAATTATATATATATATAAATATATACATATATATAATATTAATTTTTGTAAATTGAAGTCTTAAAAATATCAAGTTTGAAAAGCTATTTCGATTTTTTTTTGCTAATAGTATAAGTAAAATGTTTCATCGGCTTAAAGTATCAGATGTATTCTATATCGTAAGACTTTATAGCAGCAAAGAAGCGAGGCGATATCGAATAATAAAGGTTGTGTTTAATGTTTAGAGTAGGGACTTATACTTAAATGTTTTGTGGCTAATCGGACCAAAGATAGCTTCAAAATGTACGGATACATATAGGAGCTGCTTAACTAGTATTGGTTGGTATTATGAGCATATGAAGATAATTGTTTAAAAAAATGTGAGCTTACATTTTTTAAATTCAAAGCTTCTGTTGATTAATCTTGAAACCAGTAAAATGTACGAGTAAACCCTTAGGTCTTTGATCTAAATCCGGCTCGAAGGACCAATAAATGAATACTTAACTAAACAGATACCGTAAAATGGGGGGAATCGGGACACTTTTTAAGTTCGACATTGATTTTTATCGTTATTTTTATAGTTATATTAATAAAACGGATATCATGATGGTTCCGGTAGTTTAAATTTTCATTTATAATGCATAAAAATATGGTTTATTAAAAAACAAAAACAAAAAGTTACAAAAACTCACTTGTCCCTATTCACCCAGGCCTTGGGGTGAATCGGGCCGCCTAAGCGGTTAATAGAGTTTTTCGCTAGGCTGACACTACCTGGTAGGTAGGGTCTTTTTAAGTTACGTACTTGACATATGCCTACCAGTTTTTAAAGTGTCAGTCTCATAATATAAAATCTAATAAATCATAATTATATAATAATAATCATATATAAATAAAGTTAGAATTGTAGTGAAAAATAAAAATACATTAATGAAATCAACGTTTTTTTTTTACTTAAAATTAAACAAAACAGAAAATAAATCTTCCAAATAAACATAAAATAAAGTCCTCTCAAATCAAACTTAATTAAAATTTCTAACAGGCAAACTTAAAAAATATTAAAAATAGTATTATTTTTTAATTAATATGTAGATATTTATTTAATAATAATAAAATAAACAGTAGATATTTGTTTAATAATTATATATATATATATATATATATATATATATATATATATATATATATATATATATATATATATATATATTTTTTGAATAATCAACACAACAATTACAAGTCATAGCTCAAACTCACTAATTTTCTAAAATCTTTAAGATTGCATCACTGTCATTATAGTAATTCTTTTTCTTAGTAACATTTACTTTTTGTTTTATGGCTACTGGTTTCAAAGTTTGTTTGGTTGGATTTTTCGGAAAAAGTTTTGTTAATTGTTCTGAAGTTATTTTTATATTACTATTAATTGGCTTTGATAATGTTCGGTTCATTTGTAGTGCTAGTACTGGCGTGTTCATTTTCAATTTCTATCTTTATTTCTTCTTTCACATTTGTTCCTTTCAAATCTGTAGGTTCGCACCAGGGTATTTACTATTTCTTCATACAATTGTAAATCTTCTGTTAGCACAATGGGTAATTTTTCAACTTCTATATCACGCCAATCACTACGCTGTAATTGATCATTATCAGATGCGGGCAAATTGTTCGTTTCAGTTATGATTGTTTCGAATGCCGTTGAACGATGTGCTATTGGCGATGGCGATTTATTTTCTTTTTCAAGACATATTTTCTTTTTTTTTTCCTACAGCTTTACCTTTAGCACTTTTTGTGTTATTTATTTTTTGGATTCGTTTCTTTTTTATTTCAGGTTCAGTATCTGTATCAGCGTAACTTTCTACGTCCTCGTGTGAAACACTTCGACCTGAAATTCGAAAACCTATGTACAAAATATTATTGTAAGGACATAAAATGTAGGTCATCGTGTGTGTGCGTGTATGTGTATAATGTCGATTTATCAAGAATTAATTATATATCTGAAATAACCTTCGTTTTTATGTTCCTTAATATTTATACTTCCGTGTGGCATTTCTTTTAATAAATTTAAAACTGACTTGTCAATAGCTTCTTTAGCCTCTTCATCACTCTGCGCCTCTTCCGGTAATCTTGCCAACACTTCGTTAGGATTTAATGGACTGATACCTACATAATAAAGGAACATTCATATAATTATTATTTATTTCAGGATAGGTACTTTAATTTATTAAAGAAAACATAGTAAAATGAATTTTCTGTATTCACTATAATGCTTACCAGTCTTACGAAATTCTGCCCTAATATTATTTTCCGAATTTATATTAATTTGATCCATGAGCAACTTTAACATCCTTGGGAAGCAACCTTTTGTTACACATGATAGTGAACGGCCGTCCGTTTTTTTCCATTTTTGAAGAATTTGACGCCAGGCTACTTTCATCGGGCGGAAAAACGCCACATCCAGCGGCTGTGTGAGATGTGTTGAATTTGCCGGTAAAAAGACGAAATGAATGTCAAATTTCTTACAGATATCTATTAGTTCTATCGATAAGTGAGACGAAAGGTTATCGCCTATCAAGACTTTTTTCCCTTGCTTATTTTTAAAAAAATGGAATGACCACTTCCTTGACCCAGTCTTTAAACACTTCTGCATCAAACCACCCTGACGACGTTCGGTTATATCTTGCGTTTACGGGTCCGTTTTTCACCCACGTATCGTAGAGGTTTGTAGATTTATAAACCACATACGGTGGTAAAAGCTTTCGTTCTGCAGTTCCTGCCATCATCAGTGATATTGAAGTTTTAGAATGATTTAAAACTCGTTCTGGATATTTATATCCTCGCTACTTATACTATTATATTACTTTATGACGACCTGAGTCGTCTGACAAATTTGGCTCATCATACTTAATAATATTGCCCAGTGGAAAATTTTCAAGTGACTTTTCTAATTCCGAAAAATATTTATTGATAATGGTTGGAGACGTGGCTGCTCTAGTGACATAGCCTCTCCGAAATTGTACTTTTATGTCGTTCCAAAAAATTGGAGACAAAATCTCTCCCCGGCAAATTATTTTTAAATCTTTTGTGCTGAATCCCTAACATATCTAAATAACTTTTTACTAAAAGTCTTAAATCAGTTATATCTAAAGGATATCCCCATTCAGCACAAGTGTTCAGATTCAGCACAATGTAATCTTCTGTTTCTTTAGTAAGTGCCGTTTGGCCTCCTGGTGACCTCATTTGTCTATTAAAGTAAAACTGATCTGCTAATATTATATTTTTCTGCTATAGATCTGATTGTTGCATGACGATTTAAAGTTAGCTCATCGAGCGCCTGTTACATTACAGTCTTGTCATATTTTTATATTGTTTTCCACCAGGTCTTGGCTTATATACTCGTGGCATTATATATTAGAGAATAACTAAAACATCAACAAAAAAATAATATGAAATAATCAATAAAATCTATACATATACATAGTAGCTTTTGCCCGCGCGGCTTCGCCCCCGCTCTTCCCTACTCCAACCCTACTATACCCTACCCTACCCTAGTCCACCATACTCTATCTTACTCTACCCTACACTACCCTACACTACCCTAATTTTCTTTTTTTTCAACATCAATTACACAACAAAAAAGGATAAGCGAAACCGGTCCAACCGTTCACGCGTGATGGCGTGACCAAGGGAAATAGGGATTCATTTTATATTTATAGAAGATGTATACTTATAATGTATAAATAAATTCACGCGTTTTCCCCATGGGGATAGGCAGAAACTACAGAGTGCCGGGGCATGGTTGCGTCCGAAAGGAAAACTTAACCCCGGTATAAAGACAACGAAGGAACGGGGTGGGTTTTTTAGTCAGTAAGAGTCTGACACTAACTCCCGCTCCGCCCAAGGGCGGGAGATGTCATTAGATGATCTTTACCCACCGGCAAAAAAGAGTGCCACCTGCTAATATCAAACAATTTAAATTTAATATCGTCTAAATTATGTATGTGTCAATTTTCAGTAAATATCAATCAACTAATCAATCATTACTAAAATTTAAATAAATGTGTAGGTAGGTAAAGATTGTCAGTTAAGTATGTATTAGGTACCTACCTACCAACACTTATATTAAGTTTAATGTAATTTAGAGATTGTGACAACCTGAGAAACAAAAACCCAATTCACGCATAGCCGTCCCAATTAACCCTAATCGGGTACCTATTAAACCCATTCCTGACCCGATTCTCCTCATCTACGACCCTATACACCCCATAGTTCGACCCTTATCCCCCAATTATTGTTCAATTCTACTTTAGTAAGAATTTGTTAAATTATAGGAAAAAACAATTAGATTATATCACTTACATTATAGCTTAATCCGTTCCCAAAAAACTGAAAAAATACTTCACTTCTAGTGCAAATCTAGTAAACACCAGTGAAAATTAAAATGTTTTACGGAGCAAATTTCACACAACTATGACCCAATGTTTTGAAGTACGTTTTTTTTAAAAATACTTATAACGGGATGGCTGAGTATTGCCAGATTATAGAAAAAATATTGCAAGCTTCAAATTTAAATCCTACCACAAAATGTAATACGTAACATAAAGGTGTGAATAAGGTCGCAAATAAAACTTGGGGTTTGTCCCAATTCACCACCTAGACCCTATTCCCCCCATTTTACGGTATATAATGCAATGCAATGCAAGAGTAATTGGCGTTAGAGTGGTGAATTTATTATAAAACAAAATATCAATACAATGCAGTTAATTGACGTCATACACATGTTCCAATTATGCTAACATATAAAGAGGGTTTACTCGTACAGATATAATGCCAGGTATAGTTCAAAACTAGGTTTATTATGTGGCGATTAGGTTATATCAAAACAGAATTTGAAATATTTTTTGAAAGTTTCGTTTTATTTAACAAAATTAAAACTACGTTTACTTGAAATATTCAAGTAAAAGAGAACTAAATTAATTTTGATACGGTCTAAAACATGCGCGATAAGTCTTCATCACGGTAAAACAATTTTTTTAGGTCCTAATGGTAACATTGCATACTTAGCCTGTGTTCCGAAATGGAACCCAGTATATTGGCGAATGCAAATGACGTCATTAATAGACGCCATATTGTACTAACGTGCCGCTGCCATATTGTGTCGGATAACCCGCCATATTAAAACAATTTTTAATTGTATGTACGCTGAATGAAGTATCAGAATTTGGTTTTAATTATTTAAATACAAAAAATGGCAGAGCTTAAACTGTTAAATATGTATGATGAAGAGAATGAGAAATCATACTCATTCTTTGTAACTGAGGAAGAGTGGTCAAGAGCATGTATGATATTGGCCAATGTTTTGAAACGAGTCACGCGTATGGCGTCGATTTATGACGCCATTTTCATTGGCCAGTATACTGAGTTCTATTTCGGAACACAGGCTTAATATAGTCAAGAGACATATCAGTTTAATTACACTTTGAAATTTCCGATTTACGCTCGAGACTACAAGTATATCTTTTGGGAGTATATTTCCACGGCGGGTAAGGTTCATCGCTCGTGCTTTACGATAAAAAATAATTACTTGAACTGCTAAATAACTAGACTTAAGTAAATATATCAATTGTACGTTGCTCAAATGTTTAGCATTTTTGTAAAACGCTTGTGCTTTAGAATAAAATTTAGTGATTTTGGACGAGATTTCCCATTGGTTAATTGTTAGGATAAAACTTTTTTGAATTATTTATCAATACATTTAATTGTAATAAATATTTACGGATTGTATCAATGCTAAATTCTAAATTAAAAATTGTAAAAACCCCCGAAACAAAAAGAAGTAATGATCTTCAACTGCTTTTTTGACTCATTCATTTTGAAATTTGCCACCTCATGGTACAGAAGTTTGCACATGACACTTAACATTAGCCCTTAACAACATGGCCATGTAAAGATTTTTATTATTGAGTTAATATGTTATTTAATTAATAAATAAAATAATCCGTAAATATTGTATTTCAATGATTAACATCACGGTTTTATAGACTGATATTTTTACAATACTTTTTACAGAACAAGGGTGACTAGAAAAACATAACCAATATGTAATGAAATAATTAAAACAATGTGATTTTTATATAACTTTATTACATGGCAAGAAACATATAAATATGAGTTATTTAGTATATTTAAATGCAGAAATAACTTCTAATATATCAAACCTTGTACATGTTCCCTCCTTCTAAGGTTCCACTTTAAACTAAGTTATTAATTTAGTAGTGGAATGTAATTAAAAAAAATAAACAATATCTTTTATTAATATTAGAATATCTAAAGCACAAAGTTTGACTACTAGCAATAAGTGCAATTTACACTATTGAGATATACCCGCTGTAAGACAATTTTGTACACTTTTGTATTTTATAAATATATAAAGTGAAATTTGTACAACGTGTTTTATTTACCTCGAAATATTGAAGAACACTGAATGAATACAAATTATATAACACTATAATCATATCCGTTTAATTGCAGCTTTCGCTAAGTCTTTGTAGCCTTAACTAGAACAGATTATCTAAAAGGTTAGCCTTCAAAAACAATTATGAAGTGCGACATATTTTTTCTAATTTACTATTTTTTTTTTTAAATTTCGGCCACTTCCACTGAACGTGATAAAATGGTCCTTCGAGCTGGATGTAATTTAGAAAGGTTTTCATGAATTTAGTCCCATTTATACTTACCCATGTAACGTGGGTGTCATAAGAGGCAACCGAGGGAAACTGAAACAGGAGATTGGCACCAGCATCGTCTTGATCACAACGCAAAATAATAAGAAACTCAGTTACCAACACGCCTGACCACTATTGCAAATAAAAAAATTGCACTATGGCAAAATCCCCTCTATGAGGCAAGCTACGTGCAAGGCTTATGTCCAGAAGTGAACTTTTATAAGCTATAATAGATATCTATCTGCGTTTTTTTTTTGCGCCCGAAGCAAATATGGGCAACCCTCCGGAAAGCGGGGGGAGGTTGGGAATGCTCATAGCATACCACGCAGCCGGCTGCGTGGTTATGTGGTGACTTTTACCCACTAAACCCAACCTTTTAGGAATTGGCTTAACGATCTGACTAGAGATCTCTAAGCCGTATACGAACGCGACCCTCCTTGGCAGAAAGGAGGGCGCAGTATCTGCGTTATTGGAACTTCTTTTTTATAGAATAAGGGTGACACGTGAGCTCACAGTCCACCTGGTGTTAAGTATATGCCGTGGTTCATACATATCTAAATTTATCCTCGATTAAGAATCAAAATATCCTTAGATGACCGCAGATGCGTTGTCACCGCTGATGACTAAGATGAAATGCTTCGTTACCAGTAAAAAGGGTCTCCGTTTCTCTACACTCACCATACAAAACACTAGGAGCTGCTATTTCACGATG